GCAGTCTAGTGTCCCCATCACTATACTGGGGCATTAGGATCCACATGGACCACAGGGTGAGCGCCCCCTACTGGTCCCACTAACTAACTCTTCCAGCAGCAGCCTTAGTTTTTCCCAGGAGGTCTCCCATCCAGGTACTGACCAGGCTCACACCTGCTGAACTCCAGGGGGCTGCCAGTGGTGATCTGCAGGGTGATGAGGCTGCTGGCAAGTTTAGTCAGACCACTAAGGCCAGGCTGTTAGGCACGGAACCTGTCGTTCTTCGGGGGTCTCTCTGCTCCTGGTGTGTTTCTTACCCCACTCTCGAATTGACTGAAGGAGTTGTATGGGCATTGACGAAGCAGTAACATTTATCGAGCAGCCATGGCGAGCCCCCTCTGACTCTCTCACAGGGGGAAGACGCGGCAGCCTCAGTCTGTCCTCCACCCGCAGTTGGGGGTGCAGCACCGACACTGGGTCCTGGGTCGCAGACAGGGAGAGGCAGGGAGTGAGCTGGCCGGACCTGGCGAGAGGGGCATCTCTGGACATGGGAGGCCTGGACACCCAGCGGAACCTGCAGAGAGGAGAAGAGGAGGAGAGAGGCAGGCCTGGAGGAGGAGGAGAAGGAGGAGGAGGAAGAGGACAGTCTCCTGCTAACAGCATGCTGACGTTCCACGAGGAAAACAGGGTGTGAGAGACAGGAGGCGGAGGGGGTTGGGGGTTAAAGAAGGAAACAGAAGAAAAGGAGAGAGGGAGGGAGAGGAAGGTAGGGAAGGAGAGGAAGAGGCACTGGGATTGAGAGAAAGAGGAGGAAAGAACAGGGCAGCGAGGTAAGGGGAGCTCCTGAGATGTCATTTGTATGATGCACCATACCGGTACAAACATCCTGGATTTGAAAGCTCATGTCGAATCAGAGGGAATCGAAAGATTTTCTCACGTTTAAACAGCTTTGTTGGCATGGCTGGTATATTACAGGTGTTGCCAAAGCATATACAGTCAATAACACCTCTACAGATATTTTAAATGCAAACACATCATAGGAAATTAACATACAACATATAGAATAT